TTCTTTTGAGATTTCCCTTCATGGCTTTTATCAGTATGATCTTGCCCCCCACTTAAGCATGTAACTATATTCCTCGGTTTTGGGATAGGTATGAAAGAAAGGCTTACTTTTTCCTTTAGGCTCAACTTGATTGACGAAAGGATGACACTTTTTAGGTAAAGTGTTTGGGAATTAGGCTCATGAAAGATGGCCTTTGGTCCTTGAGATTTTCACTTTAGCCCTCAAAATGATGACAACCATTCAACTTAAGTTAGCAAGATTTCCTTATTCTCTCTATTTTTTTCTTTTAGATCTTTGCTCACCATTTTCTTCTTATATGAGTCTATCACATTTGACTACAACTTTGGCCTCCATTTTGCAACATATCAGTTAGTTCAAGGGAAGAATCAAGATCAACATCATCTTCCTCAACATGGATTTGGATCATTTGAAACATATACCAATCCTGAAATGGCATCATTGTATTCAGATTCATCATTAGCAAAGCCTAAAAGCAAAAAGAAACATGGATAAGTAATAGCATACAAGGAGAGCATATATATGCAAGTAAGATTTTTTCTTCTTTTTTTTTTTTTTTTAATTTTTGCATATTAATGGCATCAAGAAGAGTTGCATCAAGTTTAATGGATGGTGATATGGCAACATATGTTACTGAATTGTAAAGGATGGGAAAACTAATTAGCATGATAGCAAATATTTCAGAGAATATAAAAGGGCTTGTTACTCCCTCCTTTCATGTAGCCACAAGCTGAGCTACTAGAAAGTTGACTTGTCCTACTCATGGATGAATGAAGCAGAGATAAGCTTGACTGTCCAATTGTCCAAAGTGCCCCCAAGGCAGAAGTAATGGTCATGTCAAATAGGGGTTCATCCCTAGGAGCAATAATACTCGAATTTCCCCATGTCCTAGATTTGCCCCCTCATTCATTGGATCTATATCCACATGTCTTGTGTGTAAGTCCACTTCAACATCATATTTTGGTGAATTTATGTTGAGGCTGCCTTCTAGATGGATGATGCATTGCTCCAAACAGAGAGAAAACATAGGGCGATTGTCATGCCTGATTTTTTTTTGTTCTTGAAGTAGTTTATGAAACCTACCTACAAACAAAAGGTAAAAGAAAAATAAACAAAGTCAAAATAATGTTAAAAGTCATCCCATAATTTTGCATGATTTAGTGCTTCAACAATTGCTATATGGATTCACATATTGTCGATTTCCAATCCTTAAGGAGCCTCGGATAAAGCAAAATATATTTGAACATCTTGAGATTTCCATAGACTCCAAGGGCTGTAAACACTTACAAGCAATTCAACATGCATTACAAAGATGGTCATTCATTACAAAGTAAAAGCCTAGTACATCACACTAAGTACATCAACATGGTAGCATTCAAGTCCTTAGCAAAATCTGACTCCTAGATCTCTCAAAGTATGATTGTTCAATGAGTAGTTGCATTCCTTTCCTTGGAGAATCCCTTGATTGCTAGAGCCATATAAAGTGCGATGTGTTTGAGCTTTTGCTCTTCGAGGTTGCTCTTGGTTCTTGTCCTTCTAAGCTTGCCCCTTGGACTTGGCAATTGCCCACGATGGAGAAAAATGCTTGCAATTAAAGATCTCCTCAATCCTCTATCGGTCAAAGCTTTCTCCACGGATGAATATTTCAAAAGGTGTCTTGATTGACAAAGAATCGTGCTTGACCATTTATGAACCCATATTTCAATTGTCGAAGGCAGAGAATCAAACAAGATTATGGGAGTGCAAGAAAAGAAATAAACATGGATGCCAAACAATAGATAAATGATGAAGGAACATGAATATGCTCTAAAGTGATAATGTGTGTGGAGTTGTATCCTAAAGCATGCATTTTTGGGAATGCAAGAAAAGAAATAAACATGGATGGGAAATGAATGATAAAGGATGCAAGAATAAAAATATGCTAACAAGTGGTAATGTGTGTGAAATTGTATCCTAAAACATGAATTTTCTTCATTAAGTATGCCAAGCAAATTTCAAAGGAGAAGCTGGTGATTCACTATGGCAACCCATTAAATTGGCATTCATAGGAAATATCATTCCTTTGAAAAGAAAGCAAATGCCATGAAGCTTGAAGAAAAAGTGAATGGTGTGATGCTTAGAGAAAATGGATGATGTGATGCTCCAAAATCATGT